TCATTGACAGTTTCTTTCAGCATAGAAACAGCAGATAGAAGAACAACCATGTTATCTATCCTGTATATACATACATACAAAATTTTTCCTTCTTTCCCTTCTCTTTTCCCACATCCCAGAAGCCCTTTACTCTTCGGTGGTTTCCTATCATTTCACAGTGTCTATCATACCTTTCTGTTATTTTATAAAACTTAATAAAAATATGCAATTTTTGGTCATCATGTATTTAAATTATTGGACTGTTAAGTGGTTCTGGTGTTAGAAATTTTTAAAAATGTAGTTATTAATATTTTAGTTTTTAGTGTTTGACCTGTTACCTGCATTGTTCTATATTTACACATTAGAAGACCTTCTAATGGTCAGTCTAAACTTTATCCTTGTAAACATTGACTTTTTGTTAATTTAAATCACATCTCTCTTGTTCAGGCACGATTGGAATTAGAATTAAAAAAGACACCCAAGCTAAGGAAGTTCTGGAACTTGATTAAAAAGAATGATGAAAAGATGGATCCAGAAATAAGAGAACAGTACGTTGGCAAAGTATTATTCCTCTTCAGCTGTTATACTGGGTTATGGGTCTTGGACAACTCTGTGATTTGTTGCTTCCTTTTGTATAGTACTTATCCCAAATAAGTTGTCAATAAGTGCTTTTATTTAGACTGTTACAGAAACATTTTTTATAGAAGTCAAAAGGAGAAGCCACCACATCACCATGCTTTTCTTTTCCTTGTCTCTATACCAGTGATACCACTGTTTTCTCCCATCCTATTGTCTGTAATCTGTCTTTCTGTGGATGGTTCTGTTTTTTCCAGATCTTCAGACTATCAGTCTAACATTTTTTTTTCTGACTCCTTTTTTTTGACTCCTTCATTTTTAATAGTAACTTTTATACTTCCCACTATCACTCATTCATTCAAAAACTACTGTTTGTTTTGCCATGTACTGTTCTTGACATTGGGATACAGAAAAAAAACAAAAGTAATTCCTGCTTTTGTAGAGAACATTCTAATTGGGAAAGAGCAGTGAACAGATGAATTATAGAATGTGTTAGGTGTCGATACGTGCAAAACAAAAACGATAAATCAAATATAAGGACTAAAGGAACAGATCAGTGTGACTCTTAAAGCTATCAAATCACTGTCCAGAATTTTCAGATCTAAATTTTATACAAAAATTGCTTGATTCTTTCATCGTGGATTTTAGTGAGTGCTTTATTTTTATCAATACATTTTATTATGTGCTTTATAAATGTTGCCAGGGTATTTAAAAAAATTGTTTTGACCATGTTAAATGTTTTTATCAACACACAATTTTGCTATGCACAATTTCAGGCATCAGTTTTATTTTATAGTTATTTCTTTTTTTTTTTTTTTTTTTTTGGTTTTTCTCCGGTACCGGGAACCGAACTCACGACCTTGCGCTTGCCAGGCAGGCGCTTTTGCCACTGAGCTAAATCCCCAGCCCCTATAGTTATTTCTAATAGTCTTATTTTTCCTTCGATCAAAGACTATGATAGCATTTATTTCATAGGACAGAGCTATGTTTGGACACAGAGGTGACCTTCCTCCTTTCAGATATTTATTTCCTTCCATCTCTTTTAAACTGACTGAACTATACTCTTATTTACTCCATAGTTTTTCCAACAATAATACTTTTTCTCCATTTTCAGCCAGTTTTTTCCATTAACTTCTGTTTTTCTGCTCTTCGTGCATGCGTGAGCACACGTACAGGTTATGTACTTGCCCAGGACTTACTGTGGGTCTAGGACAATTTCTTTTGGCTCTGTCATATTCTTCTTTAACTGAAGAGAATGGCTAATAGTTCCCTTTCCTTTAAATCTCGCAACTTCTGCTTGGATTTTTGTTTCTCCTTTTTCATCTACCCGAAGTGGTTCTTTTTGGCCTTCCCAATCACCTCATTTAATGCTTTGGGGTTTTTGTGTGTTTTATGTCATTTCCTTTGACTTCCATTTGATCCTGTAACTCTAGTTCTTGTATATCCTTCCTCCTTTAACAACTTTAGCTTTTTCTTCTTTTGGACTTTTTTCTCTGTCTTCCCTAGTTCCTAAGGTCAAGGTATTAGTGTATCACAAGGATTTATTTTTTATAGTCTTTCAGTTCTTCTCCCTAGTCCCCAGGGGTTTTGAGAAACTTGAGGTTGGGAAAAAATAAGTAACCCGCCTCACAAGATACAGATTTATACATATGGCAGAATTCTACTTTGAGCCTAGTTTCTTTGTTTACAACTTTTTTTCTTTGACAACTTTGCAAGTAAAAAATTTACGGTAAGAATTTGTGAGTTTAGGATTTTGTGATAAAATAAAATTTTTACTTTTCCATCCCTATGTTCTGGAGAGTCCTCAAAGCAGTTTATTGATAGAGTGATATAGTCAGGCTTAAATTTTGGAGCAATGTCTCAGGAAGTTGTAGTTTTAGATGGGCAAGACTTGAGGCAGGGCAGAAGGTAATACTTGGGTGAGCGATCGTGAGAATTTGAACATAGTGGCATTGGAAGCAGAGGGTGGTGGAGGACAGAGAACTACTTCAGGCTAGGTGATGAGGGGATAATGAGATACTCACTGAGGTGGGCCTGGCAATACAGAAGGCGGCTTTAGTTTTCCCATGCCAGCCGTTGAGCTGGAGATGGAGGCTGTGAGAAATGCGAGGGCTGCATTTGTAGGTGCATATGTAGTTAATTGAAACCGGGTATATGGGTGAGATTTCTTTAATGAGGCATGTAAATCACGCACAGAGGATTGAAGACAAAAGGAAGTACAACCTGGAGTTAGGCTGGTGGTCCCCAAAGGAAGAACTGCATGTCAGTGAGATGCGTTTGTGAGTAAGAGGGAGAACCGCTGTGCGGGGCACTCGGCTCAGAGTAGGACTATCCCTGCCTTAATTTCTAGTCCACGTCACCTCCTCATATCTTTCTAGTGAGCATCTTGTCAACTTGATTGTACTAAAAAATGCCGTCTTTGCAGAGTTTACTTTTTTTAAAGAAACCTTGCTGTTCTAATTATAATTTAGTCCTAGATCTCTGTTCCTGACTTCATTTTCTGTCCTTCAACTGTGCAACTCCTCACTTTGTACTTTTGCTTGGATGAGTGTCATGAACTCAAATTTAGCTTAACTAAATACTGCTCACTGTTTTTTACCCCTAAACTTACCTTTCTGTCTGGTTTCTCTTAATTCTCCCTGCTGCTTGTGCTTGAAAAACCTGAGATCTCTGACTGTTTATAACCAGTCAAGCAGTCATGTAGACTTCACCCTTTGTCCTTCCTCTGTTTCCTTCTGTTCACACTGTTGTCATAATTTAGGCCCTTATAGCCTCTTGACTGAACTGCTACAGTAGATTCCTATTTGGTCATTCTTCTAGCTTTTCTACAACACTACAGTTTAAGTAGAGTTTGTTGTAGAAAACTATGTTTATTTTGCCATATTCCTATTCAGAAGCTTCTAGTGGTTTCTTTTTCCCCAAAGGGTAGATTCTAAACTCTTTACAGTGGCTTTCAAAAACCTCCAGCTAAGCCGGGTGTTGTGATGCACACCTGTAATACCAGCGTTAGGAAGGATGAGGCAGGATCGCTGCAAGTTCAAGGCTAGCCTGGGCTACATAGTGAGTTCAAGGCCAGCCTGAACTACATAGTGAAAATCTGTCTCAAAAAAATCAAGGAAAATCACCCATCAACCTCCAGCTATTTCTTGTGACCTTCGAACTGCTGGATTAGTTTAGTCATTCTTTCTTCAGGATTTCTCCCCTAAATCCTTTCCACCCCACTTCCACTTACTTGACCACAGTTCTTTCTTCTGAGCTCCTAGAACAAAACACCTACTACTGTGATTGCAATTTATATAGTTGTTTAGAGAATAGATTCTAAAATCACACTTAACTAGATTCCACACTCTCTTTTCTATGTGATTTGGGCAAGTTGACTTCCCCTCTTTGTAGGGAGCTGTAGGGTGAAATCCGAGCAGTAGAACCTATGTCACAGGACTGTAGTTGGTATTAAATGAAATTATGAAATGTTTAGCACAGCATAGGTCATGGCACAGTGAGTCCTCAAGTAATGTGAAGCAGTTTAATTATTACTTGCTAGCTTGTTACTCATTGTCTTTATATTATAGGACTTACCACTTGCAGTAGATTTCAATCATTTCTTTGTATTTCCAGTGGGAGTGGCACACTCACTTGCAGCCATCTAATATGTGATAAATGTTTGTTCATTAATTGGTACATCTTAAATTAGGAATGAGTAGAAAATTGATTTTTAAACTAACCTTTACTCTTTAACCACTTCACTCCATGGTATTTAGTACTTTAACATATGAAAGTATAAAGTTGCCTATCTCGGCTTAACTATATAAACATACAGTATAGGACTGAGCTTGAGATTGTGAATGAAAACTGCAGTAAGAAAAGCAGACACTTGTTTAGCTGGCTTAGTCAAGAGAGAGTATTCGTTTCTTCATATAACACTGTATTTACAGAGAAGAAGCTGTGTTTTCGAATTATGTTCCCAGTGACAGAAATGGAACATTTGAACAGTGTAAGAAAGACTTACTCAACATGTAAAATTTATTTTTAAAATAACAGTTTCTCAAAGTAGTTTGGTCCATGTTCTTTGGTTTTAGAGCCTATCAAGAAAGAAGATTTCTTTCACAACTCATCCAGAAGTTTATCTCTGTGCTGAAGTCAGTCCCACTTTCTGGTAACTGTCTTCTTTTAATCAACTCATTTGTGAATAAATATATATATATGTATCTTACATAGTGGTATAAATATACACATACTCTTACATATATATATAGTATAGTGTGTATGTATATGGGATTGTACGTATCTGCAGAATTTACTCATCTCCGGTCTAGAGATACTTGAAAAGAGAGTTTGAATTCGAAGAGGGCAAGATGCAGGGAATTAGGTATAACAGCAATCCGATCAAGATAGTGATGGCTCAGAATTGTATGTTAGGAAGGAGAGGACTTGCCATTTGGAGAATGATCACAATGAGGACATTAGATGATGGATCTGGGGGAAGAAAATGGAGTAATCAAGAGTGACCCCCACATGTTTTGCTTAAGTTGCTGGATGATTAGAATGATTTTAAATTGTACGGACAAAGTGAGCACCCTTTCCTTTTCTAGTGTTTCCAGTCAAAATGTTAGGGTACCCCTTGAAGGATAATTTTAAAAATATCAGCATGGTTATTGAAATGTTCATTTCGTTACCAAATATTTTTTGTATTTGCTTACTAGGCCCAACTCTTGTACAGGTACTGTCATAAATAATGAACAAGTTTTCAGATGATAACCAGGTATCATACAGAGATAAAGAGAAAATTATTTTTGAGATATAAGCTACAAAATAAAATGGGTCAAAAAAAGCTACAAAGAAAGGTTTATTTAGCTCACAGTCTGGGTTCAGTCCATTTATTGATGAAGTAATATATACTATATAAAGAGTATATACTATATTGGAATATATTCTTTGTATTATTAAATATACATGGTGCAACACACAGTGTATATGTGTGTGCATTATATACCTGTATACCAAGAGAGGTTAGCTATATTGAGTTGTGTAGATCTTTGTAAGCATTTGATGAATGTAGGTAGAATACTGTTTACTTAGGTATATGTGCTACATGTTATTATTTAATAATATTTCTTACAGGGAATATAATATTGTTTAATATTTAGGTAGAATTTAATAGTGTTTAATATTTCTTAAATGGAGCTATAACAGCAGCTCCACTGTTAAATTATTTTTATGATTTTTAAAAATCAGAATGACTTGGTTACTTTTTCCTATTGCTAAGAGAGAATACCCACACCCAAAATGAAGGAAAGAAAGGTTTATTTAGCTCACAGTCTATGGAGGGTTCAGTCCATACTCAGCTGGCTCCAAGGCAGGGTGGCACATGGCAGAGGGCAACGTTCATGGCGCCGGAAGATAGCAAAAGCAACAAGAGCAAAAGGGGGACCAGTGGCAAGCAGCCTCTTTCTCTCCCTTACATTGTATGCAAACTTCCTGCCCCAGGGCAGGTGTAGCACTCACACCCATAATTCCAGCATTGGACCATGAATCAGTCATAAACTCTAGAAGCCCACCTCATGACTGCGTGAGGCTTTGGGGGGACATGCAGACAGAAACCATAACAGTGTATAGCTTTGTTTAAATTTAACAGAATTCCCTACTAATGCTAACTTTCCAAACTGAACTTTACAGCTAAAATTCAGTGAGGAATAGATACCAGTGTTATAAATCAACTCTGCCCAGTTTGAAGCATAATGCTATATGTGTCCGTATATTCAAAAGATTGTCATATGCTTATAGTCTAAAGTGCATAATATTTAAATCTTTTTATTAAGTGCCTTAATTAAACATGAAAGGACAAAATTGGGGTTCTTATCACAAATAATAACAATAAAACGTTGAACTACTAATGTCTCTTAATAATCAGGGACATGAGAATTGATACCTATAATTACCAAATGTTTACGTAGGGTCATCTAGGTTTAAAAAATAAAATACAGTGAACATTAGGCCTACAGTAATTTTAACAGCCTGTAATCAGCCATCTCTTGCTACCAGTGTTTACATAAGAGTACAACGTTTCTTAATCTTGAGCTTTAATCAAAAGTCATTGTGTTGCTAGTAAAGGAGCCAAGAAGATGCTGGAAACAATGTATCATTTCAAAATGGGTATGAAGATAGATGGAATAATTAAGAAGCGAAAGCTAATTTTTAAAAGGAGAAGGATTATTGTCTGATTTTATCTGCTCATAAAAGCAACATAGCCTTGTCAGTTGTTATAAAAGAGATCTGTGTAGGATGGTATGAAATGTTAAGGCTACTGTCAGAAGAAGGAAAAGTCCCTACAATATACTTAAGAGACAGATGATAAGGATGTGGTGTTTGTATCTAAAATTAGAAAGTTTCTGTACTGAATGCACCTGTCACCACCAGAGCACAGTTATACACTGTGCTTTGTTTTGTAATTTTAACTAAGCCATTGGCAGTGTTTTTTTCAAGCTGTAAATGATACAAAATAGAGTTTTGTTTGTTTTTTTTTTCTTTCAATTTTGGATAGAAGTGTCTTTTTTGACAGTTACAAAAATGAAAGATAGCAACAGAGGGGTAGGTTGAATGGGTATAATTTAAAAATTGCTCCTTTAAAGTTCTTTGGTTTAAATAGTTATGTGATCTACACTACATCACAAAGCCTTGGTTCCGGTTCTGCATCTTCATTTAGATAGTTTTCTTTGGTCCTCAATTTCTCCCTTGGAAAATGATTATCTGGAATAGGTGTGTTTAAAGGTTTTTTTCAGGTATTACATTTTGCTATTATGTTATTTCAGAGTCTAGCTTAATGGGTGCATGTTAACTAAAAAAGTTCCAGGAAAAATTCCAGATAACATTTCCATGTATTAATGACAAAAATATTTACCTTTCTTTCTTCACATGAAGCTTTCCATTTTCCTGTACACTCCAAAGAAGTAATTTTTAAAAGACATTTGTAGGCTGCCTTTTACAAGTCTGGCACTGGGTTAGTCACTGCTGGGAATCTGACTAAGCTGCAGGAACCTGAAAATTATCTCTGTTTTAATTACAACAGTCTTGGCAGAATGGTTTATCTGGTAAATAGAAGATGATTTCCTGGCATTGGGGGGGGGGGGGAACTTGTACTCTGAAAGTATTTCGTGTCACAGGGTTATAATTATTTAAAAACAAAAATAAATTTTTAAAAATAGTACATTATACTTATGATTAGTGTAAAATAAGTTCAAGATTTCAAAAGTAATTTATTCTCTATGTTTCATTGGCATTTCAGTATAAAGTAATACATATGCCATGGAAAAATATAAATTAACCTCTAATTAGTTGTTCTACATTTTACTACCCATTTTCTACATAGTTCAAAGATAAGTTCAAAAGATATCAGCCTAGTACCATGGTGGAAAACCTTTTAGAGTTTTCAATGATAGCAGACCATAGGTTCAGCATCTCTGCCTTAGTATCTGTGTGTATATGCATATGTCTTTTTTTGACATTTATAAAAACGAAAGATAGCAACAGAGGGCTAGCTTATCTATGAAAGAACTTTTAGAGGTCAAATATGTGATGATCCTAAGGAAAGCGGAAAAAGTCTAGTATAAAACTATCTTCAGATTTTTATCTTGTTTTTCAAAATCTATTCAGTGGTACAGATTTTAAAAAGTCAACACTCCAGAAATATCTTTGCACACCTGAATTTTAAAATCTACCTTTGACCCAGGCTAGATTTTTGGTTTTCTCTTATTTGTAGAGCTAAATATTAGGGTATAGCTTGCTTTTTAGAAAAATACATGCAAGATTCATACTTTAAAGCATACTCCAATTATGATGAATAAGAAACAAATGATTTTGTTTACATTATTAAATAGCTTCTAGTTTTAAGAAATAGCACACAAAATGGCCTATCAAAATTCTAACAAGTTTCTCTCTGATGTCTAGAACCTGTCACTATGGACAAAGTTCATTACTGTGAAAGATTCATTGAACTTATGATTGATCTAGAGGTAAGAAATATGTAGTATCTCGTTACATCATCATTAAGAGTAAGATTAGGCATTGAAATATTTCTTATCTCAAACTGGCATTAGTTTATACCTATTTCTGGCTTAAAGTAAAGAAAGCCCCAAGTTTATTGCCCCTTGAGGTTTTAAGATGACTGCCCTACTTGTGCTTATGTTTATTATCAGTTTTTTTAAATTAAAATTTTCAAGAAGACTTCATAGGTGCAGGATTTAATAAAAAGTTTAGATAGAGTTGATATAATTCAGATTTAATCCATTTTCTTTCCTTTCCCTCTTTCATATGAAAAATTGAATGAAAATGTAACCTGTATTTTGAAATGAACATTGGACTAGAAGTCATTCATGATATCTTCATGTGTAGTCTAGCTCTGCCAGTCACGGGACGTGAGGAGAGGAAATGTAGATGGAAGTCACTGCCTACAGGGCTTTTTTTCTCCCTTTTCTTTCAAACAGCTCCACTTTTGAATTTACTTACAGTGAATGCTGGGATTTTTCCATAGGGTTTTATTGGAAAACTGCTGTTTGAGATGGTTTGTGAGATTCTTTCCTGTGCTAAATATATTTTAAATTTTATTTTAAAAATTCTCTTACCTTAACTGTCTTTAAAACTATTGCCACTGAATTTATTCACGGCATGGACACGATCCCTTACTTTTATATAACATGTCTTTGGAGAGGCCAGAGTGCTTTGGGATATCCACTTCTAAGTAGACTTCACCTCTGCCTGGAGAGAATACATGCGAAATTGTTGCTCTGGTGTATTTTTCTCTAGGCCCTGCTCCCCACAAGACGCTGGTTTAATACCATCCTGGATGACTCCCACCTTTTGGTTCACTGTTACCTTTCCAATCTTGTCCACAGGGAGGAAGATGGTCATCTTTTTTCCCAGGTGAGCCCTGATGGATCTAAAAACACTGATATAATTTCTAAGTAGATCTTTACTTTGCTGTGCAACTGGGAGTACCAGGGTGTGACACAAAGTAAATTTTTCTAAATATCAACTTGAATGATGTAAATTCCTAATTAGTCATCTTAAAATATGTAGTCTTACTATATAAAATGAGTGCATTTTTGTATAAGTGGCCTCTACTAATTATAAATTATAACCCTTTGCTATCTATAAGTGGCTTTATTACTGAACTAAATTTATGATTCTGATGATATAGTCCTATGTGTTCACATATTTTGATTTTTTAAAAATTTGATATAGTTCACAGAATCATACAAGGTGCACAACATATTTTGAGGTACAAACACATTGTGAAACCATTACTGTAATTAAGCTAAGATATCTATCACCTCACGTGCTTATATCCTTTCTTAATTTCTTCTTCTTAGACTTAATTTCCTCTGCTTAGAAACATAATAACAAGTTGAGAAATACTCTTAAACAAAAAGAAAAGTGCTTTGCATCTAACTTCTGGAGGCACCAAAATACTTAAGTGATCACCATTTTAGACAATTTTTTGATATATCTATGCACAAATGCATTTTTGCAAATTAAAAAAGTTGGCAATGTCACATGCAATGTTTTGTAGCTTGCTGGCTCACTTAATGAAGTGTGCTGGACAACATTTGGCTCAAGTTTGTGTTAGCATCATCTCTTTTGATGTAATTAACTAATTTCCCCTGTCTGTCTGTTACTCTTACATATACTGCCCACCTTCTTTTTTTCTTCCTCTTGTCTAAGAATAGTGTCCCTTCTACTTTCGTGTCATCCTTTTTTGACTCCACATCCTAGGGAAAGTATGTACTAAATTGGCAGGATGATTTTATCCATTTCCTGGCATTAACAAAAAAATAGTACATTATACTCCTGAATAGTGTACAGTAAGATCGAGATTTGGAAAGTAATTTATTGAGTCTGTTACTTACATTTTTGAGTCTGGCTTATTTCACTTAAGGCATCCATTTTCCTGACATACTGAATAACTGCTCTGCATTATGAGCAGTAATTTCGAATGAACTGTACCCTGTCTTTCCATAACATGCTGGTAACAGGCACCTGATAGCATGGAAGTGTGTGTGACTTCGCCTGCTGCCTTGGGGAGGAGAGCAAATGCACTGAAGTGTGTTGCTGTGGGGGAGAAGGCAAATATTATTTCACATTGCCTCTCATGTCTTGCAAAAGTAAAAACAGCTAAGAAATTTGTAATTTTTGTCTTTCAATGAGATCCTACCTGGAGATATAGTTTCTGTGAACATATATTCTTTTATATCTGTAAGCATTCCTCTTTTTCTCATCCCCTTTTTAGATTTCTCTCCAGTAATTTGCTATATGTATCAGCATATATTAAAATCTAAATATCTGATCTGCCATGGATTTGAACTAAAAATAGTAAAGATTTAGAGTGAATGCAGCCAGTAGTCTGTTGATGCTGCTGCCACGTGGGGAGAGCAAGGCCTTTCTAGCAACAGGACAGAAGCTGTCTCCCTGATAGCTGGGGAGACACGGGAGGAATGAATAACTTACTGATTTTTTCCTAATAGAAGCCACATGGAGAAAAGAGTATTTCTAACTGCGAATTTCAAAACTCTCTTTCAGAAAGTGTATTTAAGTGACATGAGTAAAAGACTTCATGCGTTCCCTCTAGTGGTATAGTTTTAAAATTTCGCAGTGATATTGACAGGTTTTTTTTTTTTTTTCATTGAAGTACTAGGCTTCCTTGGCTTATCTCTCTTCTCTCTTTAATGTCTCTTAAAGCATGGGGATTGCTGTTAAAGTTTTCTGTGGAAATAGACTGTGTAGAGTGTATTAAATAGACTTAACAATGTATTTGTAAGAAACATACTTTATTTTCATGTAAATTAAACATGTTTGGCTATATTTGAAATGTTTGTGGTGATGTTTACATTCCAGAGTCTGTCAGCACCTCTGAAAAAGTACATATACAAACTTGTTGAATATTTTTATGCTTTATTGGTCTTATGTTTACATGTTCTATTGACTTCAATGTATCCTTCCAGCTTTTGGACATGCTGAAGTTCTATACGGGTTTTGAAATTAATGATCAAACTGGGAATGCCCTGACAGAGAATGAGATGACCACAATTCACTATGATAGAATTACTTCCTTACAGGTAATTAAATGCATGAAAGCCTTTCTTACACCCCTAAGATTGGGTCATACGATAATTTAGGTTTTATATAGATGCAGAGAAAAGTAGTATGTTCAGCATTAGCTTTTTTACCTTCAGCTTTTTAAATGTTTCTAATTCTACAATTGCTAATTCATGAAAAAAGTCACTTCAAATATTGTGAATCAATGTACTAATATTTGATACTCAGAAATACTAATTACTAGGCCGGTTCAGTAGTAAATTCTATAGGTCCTACCCTCAGGTCCATTTTATATCTAGTTATTAAAAGAGTTACAACACATGGCAAGAGGTATATAAGTGTTTTAAGATATTTATACACACTTTTAAGATAAATACATATAAAGAATGAAATTTATCAAATGTCAGAATTACCTGTGTATTCTATTACTGTGCTGTATCTTACTTGAGTTTCATTTCCTCTGATAGTGGAAAGAAGCTTTTGTTAATTTAAAATAAAGATTTTTTTATTAAGAGTCTTTTTTGTGGGTCAAAATTGTGAAACTGTCTTTTGTAATCATTTGTTACCTCAGGAAGTCTCACTCTCCCTTTTCTTTCCCAAATAGCATCTGAGTGTACATGGAAAACTCTAAGAGCCTCTCATTTTTGGGGAATAGAAATGAACTCAGATATCTTTTGGTTTTCTCAGAGCACTCGTTTTTTGTCCTTTTGCCTATGCTCATGAAGTGATCACAGCTAGTGTGATGTGTTATCTGTTCCGTTGGCATAGGCATGGTCTATGGAAAGATCTGTTTCCACTACTGACAGAGGCCACAGCTTTGTCCTGATGTTAATGTTATTTTGAGAGCCAGCTCCCACTCAGTGTCTGGTTTAGCCCCTCACTCTCAGGCTTGATTGCCGGCTCATTTTTGCAGTAGTCTGCATTTTAACCCCATGGCAAGCTTTCCCATAACCTTGGTCACTTTCTTTGTCATAAATTGGGCACATAAAAACTTCTGGGTCTTTTCTGTAATATGGGGGTATCAGAGAAGACCAGGGACATTCCCTGCCACTCTGTAGCCAAATGCTCATAGTGTTGTATTTTTGTTTTCGTGCTGCTTGTCCTATGTTGGTTGGATGTGATACCCTGCTTGGTCTTCTCGTCCCAGAATTCCAAACAAAAGCAGAGTACAAAGATACTATATGTTGGCCCATTCTTAGGTTATCTCTCGAGTGGGACTCTCTCTTGGGACTTTTAGTCTTGTTAGGCCAGTTCTTGATAATAAAATGTTTGGTTTTTTTCCTGTCTCATTAGCGAAGCTAGCATTTGCAGCTATTATCATGTATGCTTCAAGTTAGTTTTAGAAATAAAATACTGGACACTTACTCTTTCCTACTAAGTAGTTTGTGTTTTTTGCCATTCTTTTGCTTACTTCTGGCTGAGTCAGGCAGAGTTCATATAGAGATACATAAAAGAATACCACATTAATATTTTTAAAAATATTATTTCTACTGCATAGCGTGTAAGTTGTACTTGGTTCTAGTACTGTGTAAGTAGTAATTATTGACATCATCTGCCATTCCTTTCTAGAGAGCTGCTTTTGCACATTTCCCTGAACTCTATGATTTTGCCCTCTCAAATGTTGCAGAAGTAGATACTCGAGAATCATTGGTCAAGTTTTTTGGACCTCTTAGGTAAGACAACAAGAGAGAAAAGCTATGTGCTCTCTTAGGGTCGTGCTCCTTGAATTTACTTTTCTTTGTATCTTTTGTTTGGTTTTTGCACTACTGATTACATAGTCTTGTTGCTTCACTGTATTGACATCTGGAACTAGTGCTTCTCTCTAGCACTTTGGTATCTTTGAGTCACTTAAATATAATTATCCAACTTTTTTCTTCTTTAAGAGAGTTAAGTTTATGTTTTTCATGATTTATGTCATTTTCTTAGATCTAATATTTTTTTAGAATAAAAATTAGGCTGATCAGTTCCATCAGTCATAAGTAACATGGGACAGAAGCCAATAAAGGTTCATCTTATGTGATTTTAGCAGTAAGATTTTAGCAAGCTAAAATTTATATAGTTAGTAATATTCTCTGCCACTTATTTGTCTGCTAATGTACTTTTTTGAAAATAGTGGTAGCCCTTATTTAAGACGCAGCCTGCTGAGTGTTTAACTAATCCTTAAAACAGTCATACTTGGAGCAGGTACCATTTTACAAAAAATGTAAGTGGTGCATAGAATAGGTACGTAATTTGCTTAGGTTACACATCAAGTAAGGGGCAGAGTCAGGATTTGAACCTATGTGGTCTAACTTTTGCCATTATACTCCATTATGTCCCTGTTTTTTTTTAACTCTTAGGAAAAGTTTATTTCATTTTCTACTTGAAGTGAAACAAATTTCAGTTCAAGAGCTCATGGGGAATGTAGCTCAGTGGCACAGCGCCTGTCAAGTGCAAGGCCCTGCGTTTGATTCCTAGTACCAAAAAAAAAAAGAAAGATCTAAGACTTGTAGTTGCTCATATCTTTGACTAGTGTCACAGTTTTCTGTTGTTTTTCCTTATAAACAGTTCTAATAGGAATACAAAAGTATGGCATTATAATTTAAATTTATATTTCCCTAATTGATGTCTAGAGATGATAAGCATCTTTCTATGGTTTACTGATGTCTATCTTTATTGTTAAAGTGACCATTAAAATCTTTGGCCATTTCTTTATTAAATTTTCTTGTTCTTACTGAGTTGAAACTTCTAGACACCCTTGTTTGTCAGATGAGTATTAAACGTCAATATTTTCTCCCAGTTTGTGACTTGACTTTTCTTTCTCCTAATGTTTTTCAAAGAGCATTTATAAATTTCAAGGCCAACTTACCATTTTTTTTATTATGCATTAGTGTGTGTAGAAATGATGGCAGAAACCGGTCACCAAGATTTGATTTAAGTGTGTGATTCACTTTGAATTAATTTGCTACTAGAAGTAAAGGTTCATACTTTGCATATGTACATCCAATTCTTACAACACCACTGTTGAAAAATACAAAGTGGAAAAATGATTTTTCTGCCTGGGAATTGACGAAACATAAAGAATAATTTACTTAGTGTTGGCAGGGAGAAAAATAAACCTTCACATTTTGTTGTTACAGGTGTAAATTGTTACAGTCTTTTCTAAAAGCATATACAAGACTAGGAGTTTACAGTTTCACTTTTTCTTGCTGTAGGAATAAGTACAAAACAATTTTATATGAAGGTAAAAGGGGGGCTGGGGATTTAGCTCAGCGGCAAAAGCGCCTGCCTGGCAAGCGCAAGGTCGTGAGTTCAGTTCCTGGTACCGGAGAAAAACCAAAAAAAAAAAAAAAAGGTAAAAAGGATGTTCTTGTAGTTTAGGTTTTGATGAATATTGATTGTTTTCACACAGATGCTCACTGCAGAACTCTTGATAAAGGCCTAAAATTTAAATTAAAGGCTCGTGTATTGAAGGCTGATCCCCAGCCCTGTGGCACCATAGTGAGGAGTGAAACCTTGGGATGTGGGACGTAGTAGAAGATGTTACATCCATGGGAGGGTACCTTTGAAGGGAGAGTTAGGAACCTGGCCCCTTACCCTCTCCTCCTACGCCTCCTCCCTTCCTGGTTTCTTCTTCCCACCTCCCCTCCTCTTCACCCTCTGTGTCCGCTGCTCTCTCGCCCTCTGTGCTTCGTGACTTCCGTGAATTGAGCAGCTTCGTGCACCATGCACTTCTGCCAAGATTCACTGTTGTGCCATAGACCCTAAAGCAAGTGCGCCAACCAACCATGGGCTGAAACCTCTCATGCCATGAGCCAAAAGAAATCTTTCCTCTTTTAAGTGGATTTATCTCAGGTATTTGTTACAGAAGTAGAAAGGTGATTGACACAAATGTTCACTTCAGAATTCTTGATAATGGCCAAAATTTAAATTAAATATTCATCAATAGGAAAGTAATTTTAAAAAATAGTATGGAATTCTATGTAGTTCTTTAAAAGAGTGGAATATATCTGTAGTTATAAGAAATACAGTTAGATTCTCATATAAAAATGAGCAACCTTACCAGCCTCAGTTTGTTTCACTTCAAGTAAGAAATGAATTAAACAGTTTTCCTGGGTGATGGGAATTGAAACTGGAATAGCCATCTTGGAATAATTTGACATTTTCTTTTAATCATGCACTTACTATTTGATCTTGTATATATATGTATATGTCCAGGATGTAATAAAAATATGCCTAGGATAAGTGAAAATATATGTTCACACAAAAATCTCCAAAAATATTTATAGTAGTTTTATTCATAATTGTCAAAAAGTAGAATACATAAATACCCTTTAACTGGTGAATAAATGGACACGGTTATATCCATGTAATAGTTTACTATGACCGTTATAAAGAAACTAAGAATAGTATTCACAGTATGGGATAAATTGTGCAGCTAGTGCCAGAAGGCTACTAAATGTATGATCCATTTATTTAACCTTCTGGAAAAGGCAAAAATACAGAGATTGAAATAGATAAGCAATTGCCTAGAGCTACAATGGAGAAGAGGCTTGCTTTAAAATAAAGTGACTAGGGGCTGGGGATTTAGCTCAGCGGCAAAAGCACCTGCCTGGCAAGCGCAAGGTCGTGAGTTCGGTTCCCGGTACCGGAGAAAAACCAAAAAAAAAAAACAACAAAACAAATAAAATAAAGTGACTAGAACTTTTTAGGTTAGGTAGTAGAAAACTGTCAAATTCAAAAAAGTGAATGCAGGTTTTTTAAATTATAATTTTTCACTTGGCGATAAATGCAGATTGTTGTCTTCCTTGTAGTGACAGGCTTATTGCATTCAAAGCTGAAAAATATTGCTATTTATTCAAGACCAAATATGCATAGTTTGTCATTCTTTCAAGTGAAACTTTTGTGCAAAGTATGAATGTTCCATTTTGTCACACAGACTTTTAAAAAATGAATATTCAAAATTGCAAGTTTAACAAGTTTTTAAGGCTTCATCGAGGACATTCTTGAATAAAACCGGTTGTTTTAAGAAAATATATGGAAGTGAGAAATTCTCTGACTGCCGGCACAGGCCGGTGCCACCATTGTCAGACCGTCCGTCACAGTGTAAATATAAAGGCAGTGAAAAAACAAATACAAAAAGCATATCCTTGCAGAGTCCTTGAAATGGTTTCAGATACGATCAGAGGTTTAGAGAAAATAATTTGAAAACTATGCATTAAAAATTTTTCATCGCTGATTCTTGACATTTTCTGCCCATATTCATAGGGATTATGTTTGCTTTTTAAGCTATTATAAAATTACATGTTTGCAAAATGAAGTTGCTATGAATGTCTGTTCTTTCTGCAGTTCAAACACACTCCATGAGGTGGCATCATACCTCTGCTTGTTGCCAACCCTTCCTAAAAATGAAGACACATCTTTTGATAAAGAATTCCTTCTAGAGTTGCTGGTAAATATTAATTTTCACTGAATTTTGCATGTGGTTTTCTTTGCCTTTTTGAATCATTCATAACAATCTGTTACAGATTTCTTCTAGACAAAAGTTTGGGTAGTTAATTATGACCTGTTTTTGGAAATCTATTATCATTTGATTTCTATCTGATTTGTTCTTTCAACTCTTGAATTTCTTCTACCAAGTCTTTCATCTTTTAAAACAGCTTTACGGTAAGAATATATTATATGAGCAAGCATTTCTGAGCAACTTGTGTTGCAGACACTGGATTCATGCAGCAGAGAAGCACAGGTAGTTGAGACTGTTCCTTTCTTTTAGAGGGTCACAGTTAAACACACATAGTGCATAAATGTGAATATACATTCATATAATTTATTTTTAAAATGATCATTTAAATATGGTGCTTCGAATATTAGGGCATACCTTTATCACTAGAAAATCTCAGGGGTGCTAAAAATATGCACTGACTGAGAATTCTAAGGCATTTCTCAATCATTTTTGGAAGTAAGAGGTTTTAATTTTCAAACTAATTTTTTTCCTGAAGTTTTTGAGAGTTTCTTAGAGATCATAGTTCTGTATGATTTTATGAGTAAAATAGTACAAAGGTATTTGAGGTTCAAAAGCTGTGATCTTACCCCTCTAGGCTGACATTTTGTTCCTCAGAGTTAAACACAATTAATATTTTTATCTATATCTTTGTAGATTCTTTCAGAAAAATAATTTTGATTGGTTTAATTATGTAATGAATACAGAGTACTTTGTTGCAAAATATTGAAATCTATAAGTCAAAATTTATGCTCTTGTAGAACTTGTTTATAAAAAATTAGGATTCCAGTTTTGTGTATATATTTTTTTCAAACATTCAGTCATGCTGTATTGTTCTTCAGCTTTTAAAAAAATTTAGTGTTCTTTTGAGTTTCAACCATTGTGTAGTACAGATGTGTTGTATTTTTAACTTCAGTATAATGTTTTATAAAGTGGGTAGGTATTTAACCGTATCCCCACTAAGGGATATTCAGATACTGACAATTTTGACTTACAAAGAAGGATGCAATCTTTTGCCTCTTGTGCCCCCATATGTGGGTGTTTAAGAGAGAGCTATCTAGAGGTTAGTTGATCAAAGTTTGCGCTCACTTACAATGTAGAAGATGCTTCCAAAGTATCTTCTAAAAGGTGTAAAGATTCCCTCCAATGATATACTAAAGCATGTCTCCCCAAGCTGAACAGCATTGGATATTATGCTTCCCATTTTTGCCAGTTTAATGGGTTAAAGGAAGAAGTAAGTTCCTTTAAACTTTTGTTTCCTGACTATTGTAAGTTTGTGTAGCTTTTCATATATTTGTTTTTTTGTGCTTACACAAACATATACCATATTGATATGTATATTTTTTGTTACATACAGAACCATAATATATATACTGTTTTGTGATTTATTTTTAAGCTAATAATTTTAATAGAAGATGTAAAAACATAGTCCCTTACTTCAGGAAAGAAGATGATATGCTAGTTTCAGAGACAAAGATGAGAAACTAGCAGATATTTAAAAGCCCAGTGACAGGTGTTTTAAGTGTCATGTGGAGAAAAATCCTTGGGCTACATTTTAAACTAATTCAAATGTAGAAAATTTTATGAAGAATATGTCTTAGGCCACTCTCTTTATCTTTCTTTATACAAATTAGTTTTTATTGTCTTTGATGAGATGTGCTTCTAAAAATTGCTTTTGCTGTTTTCTAGCAAAATAAAATTCCTCGTAAGTTAGGTTTTGGGGATTAATAATAAATCTTCACTAAGAACAGACGTGCAGATTTTTTTCCTAGGAATCTTTTTAATGGAAATAGGTTTGAGTATAAAGTTGATTCTTTGCTGAATAGGCTCTTATAACTGATACTTTACCCTTAAAATTTAAATAGCTATTCCAAATGAAAATAATTTTAAAAATTTACAGTGATACAGTATTAGCTTTTGTTTTCTGCCTTCTATAAAGTTGTCTCTCAACTTTGAGTTCTTGTAATATCCAAATTGTGATGAATACTTTAATGTATCTGTCTGTCTTAGATATCACAATATCTTTATTCCTAAAGTAATTCTACCTGTAAATAAATTTTACAAATATGTTATTATTTTAGCATTCTTAATTAGGGAACAAAGTATTTTTACATGTGAGATTACTATAATAAGAGTACATAGGGTTTGTCAGTGAAAGAGATATGGAAATCACTCCAGTCCATCTCAGTTTACAAGGGAGAGGAAGGACTAAGGTTGGGGGAAATCAATAAATTTTCCGGATTGTTTATCGTGTAAGAATGAAAACTAACATAGGATTGAAGTCTTGCTTTTATTTTCCTCACATTGATTAACACTAAGTTTTTAAACTCAGAATGTGCCAGAACTTTGGCACTATTTTATAATATTCTATTTCCTTGTTATGCGAACCCTGAAAGGTGAGTGGTACCTCATCTGTTTCACCTAAAAGCAAACTAAGGTTAGGGTGGTTAAAACAACTTGCCCAGCTTTAACACTGCTTGTAAAGAGAGGAATGGGGATAAGAACTCAGTTCTGTTTGATTCTGAAGCACATCACTACTAATACCGCTTTTATATTTGATTAAATGGAGGGGGAAAAAAAATCTTGTTAAAGTGTTGTAATAACTAAAGGATATGAAACTTCTCATTCCATACTTTGTGGTGAATTCTTCTCTAAATTAATTTTGACTGAATAAGCATGCCCCTTTCTTCATGAACCTATTTTTCTTTTAGGTATCTCGTCATGAACGTCGCATTTCTCAGATTCAGCAGCTAAATCAGATGCCTTTGTATCCAACTGAGAAAATTATATGGGATGAAAATATTGTCCCAACTGAGTACTATTCTGGAGAAGGTATGGTAAAGAAGTGCAGGATTCAGGTGTAATGTGAAACCTAATTTAGAATTCATCAGATGTAAATGAAAATGTACTGAAGTCAACTCTATACATTAGATAATTTTCTGGTACAACTCTAGCTTAACTTTAGAAGCTAGAAAAGAGTTAATATTTTGAATACTTAGCTTTAGGCTTTTTATTAAAAGGATATGTGTATCACACTGCATAAAATGTGACTATAAAGCAGTCAGACAGTGTTTTAAGGAGACTTACTAATGCAGGAAGTTTGGCTTTCATTGTGTCACTGTGCGGGGCTCCATTGGACAGAGTTTATTTTTCAAAGCCTTTTTCGAAGTTCTTTTGAGTTCTTTATTGAGCCGTGTAATGACTGCCAAAAGACATCGTCATTAATTGATAATAAACCTTAATTATGATCCAAAGTGATAAAGCCTTTTTTGTCCACCTACCTATTTCACCAGAGTTAGTTCTAAATCTTTTTTGCTCATTTCTGAGGATGAGTATTTGCCATAATTGCATACACTCAGTAGTGCATTCTGCCATAGTTAAAAGCATGTTTCAAAAGATATTGCAGGAAATCTTTTAAACAATGGCATTATTATTAGAAGAGATGTGACTGTTTTAAGACCTCACAACTACAAGTACTTACTTGCATTTATTTGAAAGAAAAATTACGTTGGAGTCATATCTGAGCAACATAGATCCAATAAAACCAGTGAACTAATTCTACTAGATTTCAGAATAAGCAGTCTTAATATCTTTTTATATTCTTATACTGGTTAATGTGGTTTTTCTCTTCTAGAGTATACACTTCGGTGATAAAACTGTATAGAAATTAGAACTAGTGGTGCTATAAAAGTCAGGAAATAGTTACTATAGAAATTGGAGCTAATGATTGCTATGAAAGTCCGGAAATAGTTACTTTCAGGTGGAGGAAGGAGCTATAACTGGGAAAGGACACGAGAGAGTCCTAGAGAGCTTATAAGTGATTATAAGGTTGTATTTTTAAAATACCCTTTAGTGATACACATACATATATATATCCCCTTCTGTCCTTGCCTTTTTCTTCTTTGAATATAGGTTGTTCAGCCTGCCGTTTCCCTTGGCATAGGCTTTTCAGATTGACTGCTCTTATGCAATGAACCATACATCTCTGCTCAGCATTTTTCTTGGAAATTAGCACCTGGATGTAGACACTTAGGCAGACTGAGGTTCCTCTCCTCTGGCAAGGTTCTTGGTGGTGGTATATTGCTTCCGGAGCTCACACTCTGCTTCTGTCTCTTTTTTGTGATGTTAGTAGTCCTAGTTTTTATTCATTCAGTGAAGGTTGCCTAGGAATTTTTGTGTTTTTTTATTTTATAAAAATGTTCTATCAGAAGAGATACCTTTTCTCAGCCTCTGTTTTTAAAGAAATTGCATTAAAGTACAAGTCAGTTTGCTAATATAAATGACTTAAAATTTTCTCCAGTGTTTTTTTACCTTTAAGTTCTCTCATTGCTTTGATTGTCTGGATAAGGATCAAAAAAATATAATTTGCCAGAAAAATTGGGGTTCTTTTTTTTCTTGATTGATAGTGCCATGGAGTCAATCATTTAATTATCCAAGAAAAATAGTGTTAAGGGAGGAAAATGGAGAGAATATTGTTTATTAACATAATCAGAGAAGTTTTAATAACGTGGAAGCAATGCTTTTTCCTTAAAAATCTAGCCAAAAGACAAATCCAGAGCACAATAGTAGTCATTGGGAATCTATACAATATAATATGCTTCTTTAGTTTTCATGATAAATTTTGTCATGAGCTAAGTTTATAGTACTATTACTTTAAAACTTGGCAAATATAAATTAGGTTTTGATAAAAGAATACTTTTTTTTTCTTTTTGAGACAGGGTCTCGCTGTGTAGTTCGGTTGGTTTTGAACTCATGTAGCCCAGGCTGGCCTCGAACTCCCAGCAATCCTCTTGCCTCACCCTCCTGAGTGCTGGGATTAGAGGCATGCACCCCCACACCTGTCTATAAGAAAACTTTTAAGCTACTTAATACTATACTAAAGTTAAATATCTTTGAATACTTTAAAGAAGCATTGTTTCCATATGAATCACTGATATACTGATTATTTACCATAGTAAAATTCATCCTTCACCCACAGTTCTTAATAGATGGCATTTGTTAACCTGGTTTAAATTTCTGTCTGAAAATAAAAATAATACTTTATCAAATATATTGCATTTCAGACATCATTAGCTTCTAGCCACATTTGTGGTGCTATTTTTTAATACATCAAGCAGATGATAGATGAAAAGAACAATTTAAATACGAATGTTACTTTCTTTTTCAGGTTGCCTTGCTCTTCCCAAGTTAAATTTGCAGTTTCTGACTCTTCATGATTACCTCCTAAGGAATTTTAATCTCTTCCGCCTGGAATCAACTTATGAAATTAGGCAAGACATCGAGGACAGCGTCAGCAGAATGAAGCCTTGGTTAGTAAGCTGGTTGACTTGTAATGAAGAGATGTATACAGCGACTGATACATTTCTATCAGAAAATTCATAGTGTGTTCAAAAATAACACACTTGGCATGAAAATGCCTTCTAGGAAATATTTCTTCTTTGAGAATTTCTGTAATGTGAATTAAAATTTGTCAGTGTGCTAGAATATAAAATATGTTTCTGAGTACTTGGAAGTAGGGCTGGTACCTGAGGATAAAGGGAGGAGAGAACAGGGAGAAATGTAGAGGAGACCAGGCTGGACCTTAGTAGACAGTAAAGAAGGAGGGCATGTAGTCCTCTATTAGGACAAGATAGGTAGTTTTACATCCTGGATGAAATTTAAAATCAAAGGATCATCTCTCCCACAGCCGCACTTGGGGCTGTTGCCAGTAGTTTTGGTCAGCATCTCTGTGGGAATTGGCTGGGGGTGAGGAGTGTTGCTGGACATCACAGGGATGAGCACACTGGCTGTCTTTTCTGGCCCTCCAAGCATAGAATACTTTGAAGAGACCCAAATCAACTGATTTAGTTATTTGAGGAACACTTCCATTTAAACTGGACTCTGTACCCCACCCGTTGGTTCTTGTCTGGAATTTGTTTAGCTAAGAAAATTCTCACTCTAGTTTTGGTAGACAGCTCTGGATTACCATTGTTCTGTTTCGTTTTTTGAGACAGGGTCTCGCTGTGTAGCTCAGGCTGGTCTCGAACTCACTAAGTAGTCCAGACCAGCCTTGAACTTGTGGCAGTCCTCCTGCCTCAGCCTCCCAAGTGCTAGAAGTATAGGGCTGCACCACCATGCTTAGCTACATTATATCTGTGAAGGTTACTTAGGATTTTTAGACATGACTCACTTTATTTTTTTATTTTTATTTTTTTGGTTTTTCTCCGGTACCGGGAACTGAACTCACGACCTTGCGCATGCCAGGCAGGCGCTTTTGCCGCTGAGCTAAATCCCCAGCCCCCCATGACTCACTTTAAATAAATACTCTTTATTCACTATCTCACTGAAATAGGTGGACGTAAGTTATGTATATCGCAAGTACAAATGAGTAAAATTTTGTGAAATGAATTTCTTTATCATAACCATACCATGTACATATATATAGTTATACTGCATTTTATATGAAAACCATAATGTTTTCAGTGTGAACTGATTCAGGTATCTTCCTGACTTTTCTCTTTACTAATTGCAGAGAGCTACCATGGACACTGTGATTATGATCTATTTTTTTCACTTCCATATTTTATTTTATACACAGTTCTATTTTTTAATTAATTAGTATGTGAAGTTATTCTGGGTCACACTGTAAAACAGTGTGAAGTATTTTTGACTTAATGATCAGTTGAGTCAGTGAGCAGGCTAGAGCTGTGAAATTTATGTACCCACTGGCTGCTTGTCCCTGCCCACAGCCCTTCTGAAATAACGGCCCATTGTTCAGTCCCCGCGGGAGTGCTTGCTCAGAAAACTTCCTTGAGGTTTATGATTACCTTGACTTTATATGTTTAGATTTAGTGTCTAATTTTGGCCCCTTTGTAAAATAGGGATTTAGTAACTAGCAGTTCAACAAATAGAATTCTCTTATATTTTATGTAAATGGCAGCTAGAACAAAAAATACTTAAGAGTTCCTAGGGCCTATTAATAGAGGAAAATTTTAATTACATGATTTTTGTTAGAGAAAGAATATGTAACTGTTGGAGTTAATTCATTTACATTTGTAATAATAAATTTCTCTAAATTTACTTTCTTAACGCCTGTCTTTGAAAACTTAAAAAGTGATGAGCTTGAAAAAAGGGCTGGTCTTCTTTCTAGATCATGTATCCTAAAGGTGGGAAAGTAGCTGAGGCATTTCTACTCATTACATGTTTCTGATGATTATGTTTTCAGGATGCTGAGGTCATGGGCAGCAGAAAAGCATGTTACAATGCTTTGTGTTTCAAGTAGATTTTATAAGGAAAAGGAGTAAGGGGAGTAGATTCGTGGTTCCCTGGGCATGGGAACAGAACAAGAAAGAGCTTTTAAAAGAATGATGGAAATGTTCTAAAAATTGGGTGGAAGTGACAGATATACATCTGCAGATTTACTGAAAAATTTCTGAGCTGAATCCATGTACATTTCTAATGAATGAATTTTACTGCATTGAAGCTATAAGAATGGGAGAAGTGATAGAAAGTTATTTAGTAAAGGTTTACACAACCCTTCCCTTCTACACAACCCATGTGTTACAGAAATTGTTCCAGTGCTAATTAAGTCACTGGAGTGTAGAACTTTTTCTCTCTTTCAAATTTTTCGTTGAGATACAAAGCCTTCACTTTATTTTTGTTGTGCTACTTCTAATTTTTGAATGCTACTACAGTTTTTATTGTACAGAATTTCCCAAAACGCTGTTTAGTATAAAAACTAGAGCTGGAGTTAGACTAACATAAGAAAGGACGGATATTTCGATGTTAGTGGTTCTAGTTTATACAATTAGTTATTTTTTTCCTCCAGTCCATGACTACAGTTTATTCAGAAAATGTATTTAAAGCAGCTTGTAGAAATATAGTGCAAAAGATAAAAATAATAAACATTTGAAACTGTTTGATGGAAGAGGGGAAGGAGAAGAATATAAAGTAAAATTAAGTAAAACTTTTGTCAGAAAAGGAGAGAATTTGAATAAAACTAAGTAAAGCTGTCCTTCAGAAGTGAAGGAGAGATGAACACAAGCTGGAAGTGTTTACCACCACTAGATTTGCCTTCTAAGAAATGCTAAGAGGAATTCTTCAAGCTGAAATGAAAGGATCCTAAATAGTAACATGGGAGAAACCCTGACTAGTGAAAGCCATATTCCTCATTTTAAATTATATTACAAAGCTATTATAATCAAAACAGTGAGTTACAAACATAACAGTGGACACAAAAGCTAATAAAAAAGAATGGAAAACACAGGAATAAACCCACAAAAATGTAATACACTAATCCTTGATACATGTGCCAAGAGTACAAAAGAAGGTTGGTTTTTTTTCAATAAATTTTGGGAAAAATGGATATCTGTATGCAAAAAAAAAATCAAATTTGATCCCTGACTTATGCCATACTCAAATGTGAACTCAAAACAGACTAAAAACTTAAGCATAGGACCTGAAAGTATAAAAGTAGAACAAAGCGTAGGAAAAAAGTGGAAGGACATTGATCTTATGAATAATTTTTGGATGTGATACTAAAAGCACAGGGAACAAAAGCAAAAATAAAACAAATTGAAACTGCATCAGACTACAAAGTTTCTGCATAGCAGAGGAAACAATACAATGAAAAGACAGCTATATGGAATGGGAGAAAATATTTGCAAGCCCTATAGTCAATAATGAGTTAATATCCAAATATATAACGAACTCACATAATTCAGTAGAAAAAAAAAACCTAAGTTATTTTTAAAATGACAGAGGACCTGACTAGACATTTTTCCAAAGAAGTTATGCAAAGGGCTAACAAGTATAAGAAAGTAAGTTCAACATTACTAATACCTAGGGAACTACAAATCAGAGATTACCACCTTTACCTGTTAGGATGTCTGTTAACAAAAAATCAAAGCATAAATGTTGGCAGGAATGAGGAGAAAGGGACCCTTATGCACTGTGAGGAATGCAAATTAGTATAGCCATTGTTGAAAGCTGTATAAATTTCTGAAAAATTGAAAATTGAACTATATGACCCAGCAGTCCAACTTATGGATATGTATTTAAAGAAATAAAATTACTGTACCAAAGACATTCCCATATTATTGAAACATTATTCTCAATAGCCAGAGTATGGAAATAGCCTATGTCCATTAAGGGCTGAATGATAAAGACAGTGTGAAAATGTGTTACAAATGTGTGCACACACTGTAGAACATATTAAAAGCCTTAAAAATGGGGGAATCCTAGCATTTTTTGTAACACGGGGGAACCTGGAATGCATTATGCTGAATGAAATAAGCCAGATACGGAAAGAAAAATACTGATGGTTTTACTTTGGGAATCTAAAGAAGTTGACCTTAGAAGCAAAGTAGAAGGGCAGCTATGAGGGATAAAAGGTGGGAAAATGGAGAGGTGGTGGTCAGAGTACAAACTTTCAGTTATATGATGTGGAAGTTCTGGAGAACAGTTAGTGTAGTTAATATATACTTGAAATTTGCTAGAAGAATAGACCTATAAGAAGAATGAAAAGAGTATTCTCATGGTTCTCATGAGTATTCTCATGGTGGCTGTGTGGTGAGGATATAGTAGAACCTTGATTTTGCTAATGATTTTGCAGTGTACATGTATATTAAAATATCACATATTCCTTAAGTAAGTATAATTATTTTCTGTCCATTATACCTTAATAAAGCAGAAATGAAATTGTGTTGGATTATTTTTCTGTTTGATAGACTGACTCATCTCCAGAATGCTTTCATATAAGTGGTATTACGTTTTTCTTCTCAACTGAAGAGCTGTGCTACTGTTTCCCTTTCATTTCTGGACCTCAGTCTTTTATTTCATACTCTCATATGTGCTTCTTATATATAGGTTTTAGGGGTTTTGCTTTGTTTTGTTTAGTTTTTTAGTTTAAAAGTAAAGGTTACTAATGTTAGGACTGACATACTAGCTAAACATGTATTCGTACTAGTTTTACTTGTGTAAAAAGTGAAGTTATTTTCTTGTCTGAGTCATCCTCTGCTTCTTTGGTCTCCAGGCAATCTGAGTACGGTGGTGTGGTGTTTGGTGGCTGGGCACGGATGGCTCAGCCCATTGTGGCTTTCACTGTAGTTGAGGTTGCCAAACCCAACATAGGTGAAAACTGGCCAACCCGCGTTCGTGCAGATGTCACCATCAATCTGAATGTCCGAGATCACATCAAAGATGAATGGGAAGGTAATTTTGTATTTCAAAAAGTGAAGTTACCTTTGGCCTCTGTAGTGTATAGGTTTTTCACTTTGAGCATTAGCAAAATACTTTACTAAATGTTACTCTTTTAAAGTTTAATTAAATTTTATTCTTAAAATTAGATTTAAAGAACAGCAAAGCAGTTGTCTTTCAAATTATTAGAATTAGAAGTAAGAATCATTCAAAAATATTTAAGTAGTTTAGTCTTTTAATGAAGAGCATAAAATCACATATCTGTCAAAGTATTTTGAAATTACAGTTTGCATAGTTAAGAGGAAAGCATTTTAAATTGTAAGTTCAGTAAGAAAATTTTTATGCACATTTAATATGAGTATAAGAAGAATAAAGACAGCAGTATTCACTAAAGAAAGGGAGAAGCTCACATACAACTTGCACATGTATTCTAACAAAACTGATACTTACAGAAGTAAGCGTGTAGGGGTGTATGTACTTCAAGGAGAATAAAGACCAATAAAGGAGTTGCAGGGGGCATGATAAAACAACTCAGAAGGAAACAATTTATTGTTACCCAATCAAATAATCAGTGAAATCATTTTTATTTGAGGGTACATAACAATTACAGAGAAATTAAACTGGCTACTTTCTGTATTTTTTACTAGAAAAGCTTTTAGGAATGAGAATTCTGTCAGTTTTTTCAGAAGCAAGTATGTTCAAAGTTGTTAATTCAAGAGAGTTAAACTGTGGCTAGCACCTGTGCCAGAAATGGCACGTGAGCGGGTTTGTAATTGGCACTTTTATATTTTTCCTCCAGCTGTCTGTGAGAGCCCTTGCTTGCTGCCCTCTTTGTGAGAAAGAGCCAGTGGGTTTAATCTCCTGCTACCTTCGTTGCATGCTGGAAGGAAAGTAATAGTCCCTTAATGGATCCATTTTCAGAAATTATTGCTCCCAGTATAGCTGTAACCAGAGAGAAATACATATTTATCAAAGAATTCTGAAGTAATCTAGCAACGAAGCTGACCAGATAGTTAATACATGGTTACTATGTTGGATATGGTTTGTGACAGATTGTTTTTGTGACTCCTAGTTCTTCAAAAGAGTTCTAATCTGTTGCATTACACATCAAAAATAATGTGCACCTTTATTATTGCTGAACCTTTGAAAGACCTTAAGTTGGTGGAGATGGTCCTGTTCTTACTACTGTTGTTTGAAACTTGAGGATGTATTAAACACTGTTTCACATGGTGAATAATCAACTGAGAAAACTTACTGGGTATTCCCTATAGTAGAAATGGTTAGAAATTGTGAAAGATCTTTTCTAAGCATTTATAGATGACAGGTAAGAAGTCTGTTTATAATGTTAAGGAGAAAAGGGTGTTCTACCTGAAATTTCCCACTCTCCCATTGCTTTGGAGACTGCTATCAGAGATAGATTATTTTGTTTTGTTTTCAGAGAGCAGGGTCTCATGTGTAGCTCAGACTTGACTTGAACTGTTTCTATAGCCCAGGCCAGCTTTGAGCTTGTGGTCCTCTTATCTCAGCCTCTTGAGTGCTAGACATTATGAAACACCATGTTCAGCTCACCTTTTCTCTCCTTTCCTTTTTTCCCCATCCATCCATCTTTCCTTCCTTCCTTCCTTCTTTCCTTCCTTCCTTCCTTCCTTCCTCTCCCTCCCCTCCACTCCCCGTCCCTCCCCTCTTCCTCCATCCATTCCTGTTCCTCTTCATCTCCCCGTCTCTCCCTTTGTCTCTGTGTGTCTTTGTCTGTCTCTGTCTTTCTTCAATGGGCAAGATAAGCAACAGTAGAGCATCTTGGGATGAGTGATTCATACTATAGGATATGGTGGGAAATGAAGTGGTTTTTCATAGGTCAGGGCCCAAGTTCAGCCCCTGTCCTGATTACATATGGGTGACCAAATAGAAAATGGGAACAGAAATGAGAAAGGTTTTGTAAATAATAATTAATATTGCATTCTAAAAGAATATTTTTGAGAAATATAAACTAAAAGTTACAAAATTGTTCCCCTTATCCCTTCAAGAAAATCTGAAGCTCAGGTCCTTATCTTCTCCATCAACCCCATTTAACATTAAGGAAAGAAAAGTTGTGCATGGTGGTGCACCCCTGTAGGCCCAGCTATGGGGGAGGCTGAGGTGGGAGGTCAGAAGGTTGCCCAGAAGTTTGAAACAAGCCTGGATAACATAACAAGACTCTATCACCCCTGCTCCCCAAATAGGAATTAATGAAACTGAATGCTAGGTTCTGCTCCCCAAAGCCCAGCTAAGCAGGAGTAAGTACAAATGATTTGGAAAGTGAGAGTTGAGTTCATTGTAATAGAGGTTTAAAAAGACGTAAATCTAAAATATCTTACTACACAATGGTCTGCTTTAGGAGGCAACAGGTGAGCATCCCTCAGGAATGTCACTGACATTAGGATGATTTTCTCTGGCCCACTTCTTTGGATCTGAGGCCACTTTGGCTGCGTGGCTGAAATTGTGTAAGACTGTAACTCAGATAGTAGCACAGTTCCCCTAACTTCTTGTTTGCCTTCCTATCTCTTTGCATAGAATTTTATTACTATGAATCAGAAATATTTCTAGCTTTACCCACACTAACACAGCTACAAATAAAAACAAATCATAATGGCTCTGATAATATTAGCCACATGTTCACATCACTGATTTAATTTGTGTATTTTATTACTAAGATTATAAGCAAGCAGAGTATTTAAGCTTTAACTGTACAATGGATCAGAAAATGGGTTGGAAAAGAAATGAAGATTAAGTAATGTTATATGCTGTGAGGGTTAATTTTAATGTCCCTTGTCTTCCAGAATCTGTACTTTTAATAGAACTGGGAAGCCAGTTGACTCCATTTATTTGATTTGATGATGGAAAAGCTTTAGACTTTGTGACATTCACTTTAAAAATTTTCCCTACTTGTCAGTGTGCCTATTCAGAGTTGATGTATGCAAACCACACTTTGTGCCTTGATGGACTGTTCATGTGTTGGCCTGTTTGAGTGCAGTACAGTTGGGCTATGTTTGGAATGGCAATGATAGATCGCTTCAACTGGTGTTACAGACCTTTTAAATATGCTACAGACGAATGATATGCCAACCATATTTTTGGTTACTTAAGAATGTTAAAAATAAGAGTGATGATAAGCATCCAATTTTGGAGCTGCGCTTGACTTGGAAGGCTTATTCAGGAATGAGTTCATGACATAAAACTTTCTAATTTCAGTATAAAAAAGGTTTTTATTTTGATTATTGCTGTGAAGTATTGAGTATTAAATATGATAGGAAAACCTATAAATGTGTAATGCAAATATCAGTGGTCACCCCTGATACTTAAATTTTTTACATCTCTGTTTCTTATAAGAGATTGAGAATTTGGCAACAAAGTACTGAAAACAATTAAATTCTAATAAATGAAAATATCTTTATGTTTTACTAGGTCTTCGTAAACATGATGTATGCTTTTTAATTACGGTGCGTCCCACAAAACCTTATGGAACTAAATTTGACCGCAGGAGACCTTTTATTGAGCAGGTCGGCTTGGTTTATGTCAGAGGCTGTGAAATCCAGGGCATGCTGGATGATAAAGGGCGTGTCATTGAAGATGGTATGCTCATCTCTGTATTTGAGAATATGTGCGTGAAGAATGATAAATTTCTTTGCCTCTTTTCCTTTTTTGTTAGGTAAAATTGTTTGTTGTTTTACATACTAAATGAGCACAAAAGGTTGCATACAAAATATGTGTAAGGTACCTACTTCGTACAAGTAAAAGTACAAAAGCTCCATGCTAGGTTTGTTGAAGTACCTCCTTGTACTTCATAAATGTATACAATTATGTGTCAATTAAATATTTTCTTTAAAAATCCATGTTACATATTGGAAAGGAGAAGATACTGGAAGTTATCTTTATTTCCATCTTCCTTTCTATAATTATTGTTTTAAAAACCTCAATTGTTTTTAAGCTATTTTTATGTTCAGTGATATATTTTTCTGATTTTTTTTCTTCATAAGTTTTACTGATTTGTTTTGTTACAAGTTTAGTTCTCAGCTAGGAATAGTACTACTGTGCATCTCGGAATATATAGCGATATTTAGATTGTCAGGTAACTAGGGGAGGGTGGTTAATGGCAGCCTATTGGCATGGAATTTTGTAGATTAGGTCCTTGGATGCCAGACATCCAACTAGAACGATCTTAGAAGGAACTGCCCAACCTGAGGTTCCAAAACTACCCCCATTTAAAAGCTGCTTTGCGGTAGTAGGCTGCTCTTGAATTTTTATGCCTATGACTGATTATGTCTTTGAAATTCTTTATTCTGTTGTCCTGGCTTCTGTTCTAAAAATACTTGTAAAATTAAAACTTCATTTATGGCTAGCGGTTATTTTCTAGTTTGGTTGCTGAATGCTCCTCAAAACTTGAATCAGTTTCTAGCACCTGTGATTTTGAGACCACATCATTGGTAAACTACTGATGGTTAGGCTATTCATCTCTAGAATAAAAGGAAGCAGGAGAAGAGGATGGTGGTAGGATGGAATAAACATCAGGCTGAAAAAGGGACAAGAAAAAAGACTGGGGTTTCAGTCCTTAGTATCCTGTATTTCTGTGTATGTGAAATTCCCTTTCATGCTGTAGTATTAGGTGGCATATAAGAGGTTGGGAAGAACCTATGTCAAATTAAGGAATAGAAAGACTGTGTTTTATATGAATCCTAAAATACAAATATTTAATGAGTAAGTATTTATTATTTACTATATGTGAGGCATTAGTAAGAGCTATGAGTGACTGATACAAGATAAATTCTTTGACTTTTAAGAGCTCTTATTTTAGTTGAGGGCATATACAAATATTGCAGTTCATGGAATTGCATCATAAACATTACATGACTTGGAAGAAATAATGATTTAGAGAAAGGAGAAAGTGCTTTTACTTCTTGGAACTGGAAGAATGTGAAAAGAGGGCATTCTCTATTCAGGAGGAATGATTAGAGTTACTAGAAAGAAATGCTGTTACTTTACAATAATATTTGAAACATTTATATTTCATCTAACAATCCAAAATTTCCAGGACCTGAGCCCAGACCTAATCTTAGAGGAGAATCGAGGACATTTCGAGTATTTTTGGATCCAAACCAGTATCAGCAGGATATGACCAATACTATACAAAATGGAGCAGAAGATGTGTATGACACTTTCAATATAATAATGAGGAGAAAACCAAAAGAAAATAATTTCAAGGTAATTATCAGGCCACATAACTAAAAGTATGTATGTCATAAACTTAAGTAATCTTAAGCCGTAAATGTATAGTTGTTGGGTAAAAGATTTGTTAAGAAAATATGTTTTACTTTTTACTCTAAATAATCCTGTTTAATTCTTACATAAAAATTTAAGGAAATTTATGTGCACAATCTGTTTTGCCTCTTGAGGTGTTCAAACACTGAAAATATACAGGAATCCATATATTAATGTAAAGGTTAGCCTCCCTTGCTTTTTTTCCATACAGTATTAGGACCTTAATTCGGGCCCCCTTAGGAAGTGAAAGAGAACTGTTTACTGATTTACCGGAGCTTCTTTTTAAATTCAGAAGTACTTCTGATACCTGTAAGAGTGTGCATACAGAACCCAATGGCTCTAAATTATCCTACAATAATGTGTTTATACTTTATTAGTGGAAGAGGAGATTCGGGGTGCTTGCAGGTTTATTTTTATAGTTTTCTGGGGAGAAGAGTTTTAGAAAAGGAAGATTACAAAATTATTTACAGATACAAAAACACTGAGTTCTAACATTTGGTGGCCTAGCCTTTGGAGCATGTGCATTTCTTTCCTCTCAGCCCCAAGGTACAGTGCTCCTGTTACATTCCTGTCACCTCATAACCTTTTCTTACTCATTGCTGTGTAAAAAGCAGATGCGGAAAAGTAAAACTTCCATTTGTTCTCCTCATGCTGTTGTTGAGGACAAAAACTGTGGAGGTACACCGGGTTCCCTGCCTCGTCCTCCACATCCAACGGTGAATCTGATGAGCAGAGCAAACCCCCTCCACAGCTGTCCTTCACTTCCCTGCTTCCACTCTGGTCCGCCTCTCCAGAAAGCAGCTCAGTGAGCCTTTTCAAACACAGAAAATTCTTACCGTAATCCGGAGGACCTGTCATTATGTCCCCTGTTTGCTTCTCTTATTTTTCTCTTTTTATCTTTTTCAATCTGTAGTAGCCATACTGACTTTTTTTTTCTGTTCTATAATAATCCAAGACTTTGTACCTGGCATTCCCTCTACCTAGACAGTTTTCCTCACGTATTTATACGGATTTTTTTTCCTTCAGTTTCCAGTAACTCGTTTTAACACCTGAGAAGCTTTCCCTGGCAACTTTAGGTAATTAAGTACTTACCCATTCTCATCATTCTTCACCCCGTTAGCTCTGGCTTTCCGCAAAACCCTTGTCATTCCTGATAATTTTATATTTAGTTATCTTACTGCCCCATTAGATAACCAATCCGTGAGGATAAAGTCTTTGTATTGCTTGTCAACATACTCCAAGCATCTAAAACTCTGCCTGGTATATAATGTGTTCCTAGTATTCATTAGGTGAGTAGACGGAGAAGGATATTTCCAAGTTTTACAGTGCTTAGGATGGTCTCACATTTATTCAGTTTTCTATACGTACATCTTAGTCACTTTACTAAAAACTACCAAAAATACCTATAACCTTTGTTTGACCATTTTATTTAGTGCCTTGTATGTGTCTGGTATTGTGTTATATGGGGTTATTTTATTAGTTTTTAATTTTTGTTTTCAGACAAAGTCTTGCTATTTGGTTCAGGCTGGCCTTGAACGAAGGGTGGCCGTCAACTCGCGGCAGTCCTCCTGCCTCAACCTCCCAAGTGCTAGGATTACAGGCATAAGCCACCATGCTTGACTGTGGGATTTAAAAAGATGAATAAGAAAGATACAACTTTATACCTTTTGGAGCTTAACTTACTAATAAGGAAGGTTAGAAATATAAAAAAAATAAACAAATCACCTTTCTCATGAAAGGTAAGAAGGTGCCAAAAGCCATGAGGAAAGCATGGATCAAAGTGTCATGGGAAACATTCAAAGTTCAAAAGAGGCATTCAAGTTCTGATCCAATAAAGGGGAGTGATTGGCTTACCCATGTTTGAGAAACTACGAGTACTCTTTTGGTACTTTGGTATTTCCTTGTATTACTGAGCAGCACCCCTGCTTTATTTCCCTCTCTCTTTTCCAGTTCATATAGCCTTTTCTGATCGGGATCCTGCTGCTTGACTGAGCAGCTGGCATGGGCTCCTCTTTATCCTCCCTCTTCTCCCATTCAGTCACCTGTTTTTCATATCCTTCTTTCAGCTGTAACACCCATCGTTTTACTCTGCTTCTCAGAACATTTCTGTAGCTTTCCAATGATGATGCAATAAACCAGAGTGCTTCAGAAATTCTTAAGCTGTATCAAAGTACCCTTTTCCTATGTGAAACCTCACCTAATATTAAGTCTCTCTGATAGTGTATGTGATTAACATACACTGTATCATGTGTTTTTCAAAATTGGATTGTATAGCATTTATGATTTTCTTTTTTGTTGTGTTTTGTTTTATTTTTGCGGGTACTGAGAATTGAATTCAGGACCTTGAGCTTGCCAAGCAGGTGCTGAGCTATGTCCTTGGCCGTATGATTTTCAAAAACTGGTTGAATTGGTTTTTATTATTTACAGTTAATATCCTTTCCTCCTAATTTTTATATCTTGCACATCACTGAGTAAAATGATTTTTGAACAGTCTAAGAATTTGTCTTGGCTTTTGGTTAATTCTTTCTCACAATGTGTATATTAACTATTATAATTAACTTTTATTATAGCCTAAAATGATATTTTCATTCTGAAATTTTGACTTTTAATCATTTTCTTCACTTAATTTTTTTTTACTTATGCTGATTTTAGTGTTTGTAAATTTTGAAAGCTTCACGATTGAGGTGTAAATTAATGTCCTTCAATTTGAATATGAACTAGAATATAGACTCCAGGAGTTCCTAAGAGGAAGCATTTTTCTTTAAGGGCTTCTTCTATAAGGCTTTCTTGTTGTTGGGTTGACATGGGTCTGCTTTTCATGCTACTCAGATGCAGTCAAGTGGTAACCTCATTTATATCATTCTCTGTAAATGAACTCTTAAAGGATAAACTGTTCTTGCTAAATTTGGTCTTTTGTTTAACTCAGTGTATGGTATCAGCTGAAAATATAGCTGTTGAATCAGTCTAGCCAAGCACCTGTCAGCAGAAAATAGCTTCTTGCCCTGAAACACTTGGGAATTCTGGATTAGTGCAGCCAACCCTGCATTCCAGTAAAGTGCAAATGTTTGCGATGTCTTCTGACGCAATACTTTTCTGTCTTTTTACTGACAGGCTGTGCTGGAGACTATTCGGAATCTGATGAACACTGATTGTGTGGTACCTGACTGGCTGCATGATATCATTTTAGGTTATGGAGACCCAAGC